CTACAGTCAAATGATTATATACTAATGAAAACATAGTTATGCATATTATATTTCATTTCTGCCAATAGAGCCTCCTAAATGTTACACACTGGACCTTTAAAATAATATTAACAGTTAATACAAATTAGTAATATTCTAATCAGTAGACTTATTGTGACCAGTTTGGTCCCAGTTTGGTCCCAGTTAGGTGGGAACGTCAGGAGATCCTGCAGGACTGGAGAACTCTTTGGGGATGTAAGACTGTTGAATGCTTGATGGACAGTCGGTGAGTTACTGGTCCAAACAAGTTGTCATAGCACCACCAAATGGCTGTGGGGTGTAATTCTTATCGACTAAGCAGTGGGTGAGTATGAGTGAGTCTGTAGAATAATGATCTTAATGAAATGAAAAAAGCACTTCACAACAATATATTTGTACTTTTAGTCTGTAGTGTGCTTCTAACCTGTCCTTGAGAAGGTGGTGGGGAGCCGCCTCAACTTGTGTCTCCCAAAAGACACAAGCTCCCTGGTGGGTGTCCTCCTAACTCCTACGGGACTCCTGGTGGAGCTGTGCATGCGGCCCCGTGGGGAGAACTTTACTGCTGCCGGGCTGGTCCCCCTCTCTGATCCCCCTCCACTGTGGTCACAGGATAAAGGGCAAAAGTGTAATCAGTAACAGACTAACAGCTACTTTTAAGCATATCATATAGAGAGTTAATTCATGTATACAAACAATAGTGCTTTGCTGCCACCTTCTGGCAAAAGACAGACAAAACAAATTGAAAAGAACATCATTTCTCTGAGAGCAGATATAAGGAAACGCACAGACTGTGTGCGTGTTTCCATCACTTACCTATTAGCAGACTTCCTAATGATTTTCATCCTGCTGCGGAGCTTGAACCCCGCAGGGGAGGAGGAGGGCGGAAGGGAGCTACGTTGGATTACAGCTGGGGAAGCAAGAAGCCCTCCTTTCGCTCCCTTGTTGCTTTTTTCTGACGTCCAGTGGAAAGCAGATCTACGACGGGCCGCCGCTGCCCCTCCTGTCACTGCTGCCGACGTGCTCTGACCTCCAGCCTTCCAGCGGTAGCGGCTACTCAGCGAGGAGCTGCTGGAGGAACCCGCAATCCCCTTTTTAATCTTGGCAGAGGGAGTGCAGGGTGCTCTGAGTCTCCTGGTGGACTCTCCCTTCTCCAGAGCTCTCTGGGACGGAGCCAGGGCTCTGGGCGATAGTGATTTTCGAGATATTTTAGCTTGGGCTCCTGCAGAGGAGGAGACCCATTTGTACTTGGAGGTCTTGGGGGCTACAGCGACCGGACTCAGCTTTCGAGGTAACTTCTTGGCAGGAGTTCTCTTACTGACTGCGATTAAAGGAGAGCTTCCAGTTCCAGCCTTTGACACTGACGTTGGGGAACCAGTTACAGCTTTGCCTGTGGGGGCGGAGATGGAACGAGGCTCCACTCCCCCCACGCTCTGGCTCTTCACCCAAGTGAACTTGGATTTTTTCAAAAAGGATGCCCCGGCTTGGCCCTGGCTGGTGTGAGACGCGGGGTTAGTGGAAGCTTGTTTTGATGCTTTAGACGGCGCAGACGGGGGTGCTACAATATTCTTAGTGGGGAGAATAGCCGGAGTTGTCGCAGTAATAGCCTGTTTAGTCCCAGCGCTGGTTTTGCTTGTTGGGGAAGGTTTAGTCTTTGCTTGAGGGCCGCTCTGCAAACTGGTGGAGGTGTCGGCCTTCACTGAGGGCACTTCTGAACGTCTACTGGCTTTCTTTTGTGGCAGGACTACGTGCCTGCTCTCAGCCCTCTGCTGAAGTTCTTGAGTCTGTCTGTGAAGCATTTCACGTTGCACGGCAGCGTCTGTCGAAACTCCTTTTCCATCCCCGTGCTCAGACGCCGCCCCTGTTTTACTGAGAGTGTCTGTGCTTTTTACCTCCGCTGCCACTCCTCTAAACCCTGCGATGCTCTCCACATGCCCTCCTCTCTTCTGATGAGGGATCCCTGAAGGTGAAGTGGCAGTTTTGACACTCTCGTCCCCTCTGCTGCGGCTGGGCAGTGAGCTGCTGTGAGATACGCCGCGGGAACTAGACGGGTGAACGGAGGAGGAGGCAGAAGCCGAGGGACGGCCAGCGGAGGACTGGGGGTTCTTGTTATTCAGCGAGTACGTTTTCCTCCAACTTCCATGGCTCTGAGGAGCACATGGCCTCCCTCTGGAGCTGTGAGGCGCGATGACAGATGTGCTGTGACCTCTGGCTGATGTTGGAGCTTCTGGCTGCTGCCTCTGCTCGACTCTTGTGGATGGAGTGTCGCCATGGACGCTCTTATGTCTATTGATGAGATCTGGGAATTTGGAAATAAAGAGTTTAGAGATAAACGATAAGCAGCAGCAACAGTTGTTTTTCCCAACAGAATATGTAGATGTAGATAGTTTAGGTGCAATAAAAAACCTCTACAGCATCTCTGGTTGCACCAGCTGTGTGTGAGTTTAAACACATTATCGGTAAAGTGGGATTAATGCATTATTAGTAATCTGTCTAATATAATAATGCTCCAGAGACAAGAAAACACTGGATTTTATCAACAAAAAGAAGCCTAGTAAGTCTGTATGATAGTTACAAATTATTTTAAAAATACACAACACAGAAAACATAAAACAGGAATCTCAAACTTCATTCAAATCACTAATTTTACACAATAATCTTGCAGTTATTAAGTTCAGTAACGGGGTTATTGTACAGTTTCGAATATTACATAAAATATGTCACTTAAATCAGATTACTAAAGGACAGAAAAGGGACCCTTAAAGGAAAAAGGTTGAGTTAAATTCTGCCCCAAGTAAATGTGTTGATTTGGTTACTAACTGCAGTATATAGTGTCAGCTTTACACTTTAAATTAAGAGATAAAGTACATAAATCTGTGTTGTTACGGCAGCGCACAGTTAACCCCACTTGTTGACAGCACAAACAGCTAACAAGTGAGTTATTTACCAACAACACAGACTGAATATGGAGCACATAATGTCAAGTATAAGCGAGTCAAAAGACGCCAACATCTCGTTTTAACACGCGTGTGAAAGCTTAACGTTTAACGGGTAAACACAAGCGCCAACGGTCGCTCAACGGCTCTGGACGCAACGGACGCAACCGTTATTAACCGTTCTCCAACCGGCCTGCTGCTCAACAAACCGTCCGCGTTGAATAAAGAAGATTTTACTTTGTAGGAGTTCAATTTGTCTCTTCAGCGATTCCCTCTCCTCCATGTTTACACGCTCCGTCAGCACGAAGCGACGACGACACAGGCCCGTGCGGATGAGGTAGCACGTGTTGTCCAATCACAGAGAAGCTGTCTGCGGTAAGAGGGTCGGTGTTCCCGCAGTTGTGTCTTGCAGGCTGGTATTTTATTTTGAAAGGCAAGTGTCAGGTTGCACACGCAGTAAAATTGTTTTTGGTTTTATTTGACAGGATTATTCGGAAGGATTTCATACAGACTCGAAGCTACGGAAGCGTGTTGCATTCACTTGGGGAAAAAAACTCCGGTTTTTCTGAGTAATTCATTTTTTGGTTTGTTTTTGTTTTTTAATATTTTTTTCTGTTTTTCTGAATATTTTTTTCTGTTTTTCTGAATATTTTTTTTCCAAAATTATGGCGATACTTCGAACTACCGCAAGAACTTCCAACCAAATAAAGGAATTAATGTGTCTATGGTTTCAAAGGCTCTCTAAACTCAGAAAATCAATTACTCAGAAAAACAGACAAAAAAATAAATTGTCAAGTGAATGCAATATGCTTCGGTAATTAAATTTATTTAAACATAGTATTATTTATTCAAACCTTTATTTAAAGTAGGTTGCCTGTAAGACCTGACTGAGGGACTGAACCTCCCGTCGCTGCTTACTGTGAACGGATTTGAACATCGTCACAAAATATTCCTGTTTGCGCTTCACAACTTCAACGAGCTGTTTCGAGGAAAAACACATTAAGCATTATTGCTGATATAAAGAGTTTGTGAGGTTAAACAAACTGAGTCTGTCCTTTTCCAGCGGAGGAGTGAGAGAAACACCGAGGACGACTGAAATGAAACGAAAGGGGAAGTGAAACTAAAGACCGCGAAGGATTTTTATGAAAACAGAAAGTTAAAGCTGCTCAACAAGTCGAGGTAAACGCTGACTAACGCTGACTTAAAGAATGGTAGATAAAGTAACTTAAAAGCAGTCTGAACTAACGTTATTCTACATTAAACACGGTTCTGTTAATGTGACATTCAACGTTTTGCTCTGATTTCACTTCATTAACAACAGTTCCTGGGTTCAGCTGTAGCTAAGATAACTAGCGAGGTAGCTTGAGATTTGTCTTCAGTATTCATAAATAGGGTTGTTATTGTAGTAACACCTGTGTGTGTGTGTGTGTGTGTGTGTGTGTTTCTGTACAGTATCCTGCTGCATCTGGCTGCAGCAACATGTCGTCAACAGAATACCAGTACTTCATCATAACAAGAAAACCTGAACACCCAGGTCACATCAACGCCGGTTCAATATGTTTCATCTATAAATACAAGTACACAAGAGCTAATTCTTCCCCTAAGTTGCTCGTCTACTTCCTGGGCTCCCAGTCACCGTTGTGTTATGACATAGAGGTGAAGGTTCTGGAGGTGCTGAGTCCAGAGGAAGCCGGGCTGCTGCAGGCACTGTCTGACGACGCAGAGAGGCTGAAGTGGTTCCGAGAGAGAGATGCTCTTCGAACAGCGCTGGGACTCACTGAGGGTACTGCAGTGACTGTGGACGAAGGAGGAGAGAAGCTTAGAGGCATCATTCGCTACATCGGAAACCTGACATATTCCCTTCCATTATCAGGAACTTTCTTTGGCATTGAACTGCAGGTGAGACTAAAGGTTATATATATATATATATTATATAAGTTCACAGCTACTAGAGCACCAACACACCAGACTCCATTTACAAAACCAGCTATTTTTACCTGGTGGATAATCGTCAACACTTCAAACTGGACAAAACCAAAGTGAAACGCATCAGAACCGTCTTTGTTAGTCTTTCTAACACTCACCAACACTGGTTTTGGTCGAAATAAACAGTTAATTAACCTTAATTAAGTTCAATTCTTCCACTAAAAGTGCTTGTTTCTGCCACTGACAGGCTCAGATTGTTATTCTCAGTGTCCGACGTCCTTATGAAAAGGATCCCTACAGAGACAGACCTGTTGTTTGACCAGATATAGCTATCACTCGACCACCAGACTCCATAGAAAGAAACGGTCATTTTACCTCGCAGATCATCTGTACTTTGTAACTTTGTGGACAGAAACATAATAAAGCAACAACAACACGTGGTACATAAGCTGTGTTATGTTGTGTGTTTTTGCTGTATGCTTTTTTATCATTAACAGTAAAATGAAGATTTATTGATAGAGGTATTGAACTGAGAGTAAGTGACATTAATTCAGCCGTGCTGCTTTGCTTCTCTCCCCCCCAGGGAGACGACAGGGGGAAGGGGAACACAGATGGGAAGTACCAACATAGAACCCTCTTCTGCTGTTCCGAATATTCTGGCATTTTTGCCCCATTCTCCCGAGTCAGGCCTCTCGTTCCCAGCTCCCTGTCACCCTCCATCCCTGCGCCCTCCTCACAGCCGGAAACAGAGGAGCTGGAACCAGGCGAGAGAGTCACCTACTTCATCGATGATAAATGTCTCCATGGGATGGTGTTGAATGTGCGAGTAGAGAATGGACAAGATATTGTTCAGATCTCCACAGTAAGTAATATTTCTGTTGTTTTAGTTTAAATGGCCATAGTGTTTTGGTTCTTTTCATTATGTTTTAAAATGCAGATTTGCAATGATTGATCTTATTTTTTGTATTTGCTGGTACAGTTCTATGATGCAACCAAACCTTCTGATTTCAAATTAAAATCATCACTTCCTTCAGTGTAAAGTTCTCCGTTTCCAGGACATTTATACAGTTTCTCTGTTTCTGTTTCCAGGACAAAGATGAGAATGGAAAGACGGGGGGCACAGTTGAAGTTCCACTTTATTCAGTTTTTAAGGGAGAGGTGCCTGCAGGTCTGAACAACTCTTCACATGATCTCCCACATTTGTTATAAATCTGACCCAAGTATGACCCACATGTTTCCTCACTGTAGAGCCAGAGCGCATGGACGTTGATACACCCCTGTTGGACCCAAACCCTGATGATCTGTACAGGGATCTTCTGAGCGTGAACTCCCTGGTAGAGGTGACTCTGGGTAAAGGCAACACATATGGAATCATCCGCTGGATCGGCAAGCTACCTGATCGAAAGGATACCATGGCTGGACTAGAGCTGGTAATCTTTACATTGACGTGTTAGTGTGCAGATTAAGGTCTAATTGAAACATGCAATATGTACAATTATGGAAACACATCATATGGAAAAAAAGTCTCCTAGGTGTGCTGTTGGTTCTCTTTCTTGCATTGCTTATTTAGTCCTTTAATTGAATCTTGGGTGTAATGACATTATTCTTCCGCGTATATCTGTTTCCAGGAGGAAGACACAGGAGTGAGTGACGGTACCTTTAAAAAGGAGCGTATCTTCGTTTGTCCCCCGAAGCGAGCTCTGTTTGTGAAGCTTATCTCCTGCCGTCCTGACTCACGATTCCAGAGCACATCAGCCAATCACAGCCAGATGATGCCAAAAGAGGATGACGCAGGTTGATTATTATTTCTGTTTTGAGTAACTCTGTTCCTGTTTGTGTCACATTTTTGTCTGCTGAAAATCCATGTGTTGTTATAGAGCAGTGGTTCTAGCCCCACTAAGGGTCGCCAAAGCTTCAAAAAGGGTTGCAAAGCCTTCTTGAATTTAAGCCATGTGGAAAACCTAAAAATATACACAGTAGGCCTATATCTTATGGTCCTGCATTATAAAAGGACGCAGTTATAACAACCAAAGAACTAATACAACAAGCGTCAGGGAGAAGAAAACACTGAATTTGGCTAAAAAGAAACTTTCTAAGTATGTATGATTGTTAAAAACTAAGTAAATACTAGAAAATTATTTAAAATGTTCCTAAAAATATCAGGAATGTCATTTCTGATGCAATATTCACAGGAAATAATCTGCTCATCCAAATCACTCGTGTTAGACAAACTTCCTGCAGCTATTGTGTTTACTGTTACAGTTTAGTTATGCATTCAATATAATATGAAATATCCGTAGAATATGTCATTTAGTGAGGAGTCAGTTTGCTCAATGATAGAAAAGGGGTCCCTTAAGGAAAAAGGTTGGGAACCACAGTTATAGAGGACACTTTTAATTGAGTGTACAGTGGGAGCCCCCAATGTGGATATTGTGTTTTAGTTCTTCATTCAAATTCACAGATTTTCTGTAAAACAAGATACATTTTTCTGGATTTGAACTGTTATTTCTGGGCGGCCGTTGCCATAATGTTATGGTGAAAGGAAAACTGTAGTGAACTGTAGTCAATTCACCAGAGCCCGCAGCAGAAGTCAATACCAGGCTTACCAATAAAATGTATGAGTATTTGGGAGCAAGTGCTGTCCTGTATTGTCAATAAAAACTCCTGGAAACACAAACTGTTGACACAAAGCATGAAAAACACACCAAAATATATCTTCAAGTATCTATGGTACAGAATACATATATTTTATCCTTATTGATTGTCTAATAACTGTACACAAATGGCTGCTCAAGAACAGAATGCTTTTAAACTGATTCTCGTTATCTGAGCAGCTGGACATGCAATTCACATCATGTTTCATCCATAATGATGTGTGTGTGTGTGTGTTACTTTAGAGAGAGAGACGGAGCACAGCACAGGGAAGCCAGAGACTGTACCTCCTATGAGCACGGAGCAGGTTAACAACATGTTGATTGGACGAATGAGGGGGATCCAAGGACACTGCAACTCCTGCTACATGGACGCTGCCCTCTTCAGGTCAGGATGATCTGAACGTAGGACAATAAATAATATGCATCAAGGTCTTCAGAGGAAGTTTATGTTCGTGTTTATTGAAGACCATTGTCCAAAAAACATCAGTATTTTATAGGATGATCTCTTACCTTACAGACGGACTGATCTCTGTAAACGATATTTGTACTATAATCAGCAAGGTCCATTTTCAACACAAGAACTTTCTTAAATACAAGAAACAACTAAATTCACTTCTATTTTACTGTCTGTGTTTGCTTTTTAATCTTCTGATTTAGATTTTTTCACACACACTCATGAAGGCAGTGTTTCTCGGCTGTTAATTAAATGAATTAAACATAAAAAGAGAGAGAGAGCTTTGAAAATTGCTCCCTTGTACAGTATTCTTTACTAGTTTCACATCTCTGCAAGTACATTTTCAAAACCCACCTCTACAGGCAAGCCTTTTTATAGATATCCTTGTTTGTTTTTCTCATCTGTCGTGTCTGCTTAGAGTAGTCGCGACGCCCTGGTAGCTCGGGTGTTATCCTTCTTTGTTTTTTTACACTGCTTAGGTGATTTTTTTTGTGGGCGCGGGGGGTGGGTGAATTCCTGCTAGGTCTTAGTGTCTATGTATAATCTTGGAACACTTTGGATCTCTGGGCATTACACGTAGACGAATTAGACGAGTGAATGGCATAATTAACAATATTAATACCAAGAAGAGACCAACACCACCTTAAATATACTATCTTATTCTTATTTTCAAATGTGGTGCTTATTAACCCCTATGGGGTCATTTTTGCTCGCGGATTTCCTTTGAAGCCCTCACAGAAACCCAATAAATTTAACACACCAAAAATTAACAATAGTCCTATTTATTAGATTAGGCTGTATACTCTTTGTCCAATGCTACTTTATCACGACTTTGTGTGTATATTAAACGTCTTGGTTCGCTTTAGTCTTCTGTACTGCTGTTGGCTTATTCGGAGCTATCACTGTTATTGTTCCGTTAGGGCCCCATGGTTCTCTTGGATGAAACCCAGCATAGAGAGTAGCGCTGTGATTGGAAACTACTCCTAAACTTCGGTTGGCGCACGCCTGAATTATTAGATTTAATATAACTGTGGTCCAGCACGAAATCTTACCAAAGGAAACGAGGAAAACACCTCAAGCTGTTATGCGCAATTTAAACTGTTTTCCCACTATAAAACCGATTCAAATTCGCGACACATGGCTCGTAAACAACATAAAAATAGCAAAATAACACATTGTCGACCAGGCCCGCCTCTTTCAAGCCGGCATAGCAATGAATGATAGGATTTTAGCCTTTACTCTGCCATAAAGTGGGAAAACAGAATTCGTCTGTTGAGCCATTTGTCGCCATAGAGAATACACAATCAAGTATACAGTTTGGTTTGTTGGTTTCATTTTATTTTAGTTCCGTTAAAAGAACCAATAATAAAACAATAAAAAATATAAGAAGTACATTCTCCAAAAACATTCAGAACATCATACAAAAATAAGGTGGGAACTTGGCCCCCTGCTACATCCATAAACTTACATGTTCTCTGATATAAAGTTTTGGCGGAAAGCAAATGTTAGTATGAGTAATAATTAATAGAGCGCCTCTTACCTTGGCTTCATACGCGGACTCCTCTCAATTTGACGGCCCTCTGCGCAGGTCTATGCTATACGGGTTCTTTCACAGCAAGGAAAAAATAAAAAGTGATAGTGAGTGACGTGACATGAGTTGACGTCGAGCATGCGAGTGAGTGAGCAGTGAGGCACTGGAGGTGAGGCAGCGGAGGGCTTTACATAACTAACCCTTTATGTTACTTGGGTTTCTTTGTTCCATATTTTAGGGTTGAACAGAATTAAGGCCAGGTAAGGGGTGAGCACAGTTCCACCAGAAGGCAGGCACACATCGATGGGTGGCACCGGGCAGATCTCTATTTCCGAACCAATGGGGAGCTGGGGGATGCATGCGGCTGACCCCCCCCCGTTTGCGGAGACAGGGTATGAACCCGGGCCGGGCGTATGGGCAAGGTGCGCAGCACAGGCCCTGATACAAGTCCGAGCACGAGTGCAAAGAGGGATCTGTCACGGGCACTATGCGGCAGGAGCACGGCTCCGTGGTTTTCGATCTTGAGAGGCTTTTAGGAGATGTGTCTCATCCTGTGTGTCTACTTTGTGTCATCGTGAGATCCGGGCCCTGTCCTGGAGCACCACCAGTGCGCTGATATGACCTCGGCCACACTGCTACTCTATCGGTAGCATGTGCTCGCTAGTCGGGTCTTTCTTGCTACAAGTACCAGCTCCAGAAGTGTCTGTGGCGGCTTCATCTGTTGGCAGCTGACCACCGTCAACATGCAGACCACCACACAATCTCTTATGCACACCAGATCACAGCACTTACTTCACACTACAGACCACAGTAACTAATGCTACTAACGCAGTCCTACGGTGGTCGACTAAATTTGGCTATTGTCCAGACTTATCGCACACTGATACCAAGAACTTTGATCTTATAGCTGAGGTGGTGTCCAGAAAACTCGATGTGGGCTTTCATTGATTGGTAAGCTGGCCCAGCCATTAGGCGGATACACGTCTCCTCTAGGTTCTGATTAGGATGACGAACGGCATCCATCCCACTATGGTTGGATGGAGACCTGCTCTCTTATCCAGGAATATATGGCGAAGTTTATTTCTTAAATCTTCTGGGAGCAAATGCAAGAGTTGGGCACCAGGAAGCAGAGTTGCTGTGACGATTTGACCAGCCATACTCATGGTCTCTGACCAGAACCACAGCCTGGTGCTGCCTACAGTCCAGCAGCTGCTGGAACATTCTTTCCACAGTGAAGGACTCAAGCTGGCTGAGGTGAGAACGCATGGATTTTTTTTTTTTCTTAGACGAAAACTGTAGTAAATTGTGCCAAAAGAGGACAACGGAGGTGAGGACAAGATTGATTGTTATTTCTGAGTAACTCTTTGTTCCCATTGTCAATTTTTGTCTGCTGAAAATCCATGTGGTTCTAGCCCCAGTAGGGGTCGCCAAAGCTTCAAAAAGGGTTCCAAAAGCCTTCTTGATTTTACGGCATGTGGAAAACCTTAAAAATATACACAGTAGGCCTATATCTTATGGTCCTGCATTATAAAAGGACGCAGTTATAGCAACCAAAGAGCTAATACAACAAGCGTCAGGGAGAAGAAAACACTGAATGTGGCTAAAAGGAGTATGTAAGATTGTTAAGTAAATACTAGAAAATCATTTAAAATGTTCCTAAAAATATCAGCAATCTCTTCTCTGTTGCAATATTCACAGGAAATAATCTGCTCAGAATTAATCCAAATCACTCGAATTTAGTAAATTCACCAGAGACTGCGGCAGAAAAATCTGCTGTGGTGACAACAGTGAACCGCGCCATGAAAGCGATCTAACACGTGTCCCCTAAAAGCTGACTACCTACTTGGAAAGACCCTGAGACACTTCATCATGAAAAATGAACTCTTACAAAAGAGTTGCAGTGCGGCGCCTGGATAGCTCACCTAGTAGAGCCATGTACCGAGGCTGCGTCCTTGCTGCAGCGACCTGGGGTTCGAATCCGACCTGTGCGTGTCATCTCCTCTCTCACTCTCTCTCCCGCCCCCCTTTCCTGTCAGTTGAAGAAGTTCCCAGCTCTCCCATGAGCATGATCTCCTTGAATGTTCTGATTAATTGTAGTGATATTAAAATAAAACGCTCTAATTTTTGCATTTTTTAACTGTAACAAGCAAATATTTTGTATTTGTACATACTCCGAGGTGTAATGGCTGTGCAACTAATATAAAACGTCTTGTCTTTTTGCTCTGGAAATGTATTTATCCAATGGTCCTTGGGTTGGTTCTCCAGCAGATGGCTCTGTTGGACAGTTCCCACCTCCTGGAATGAGTTTAGTTGTGTGTATTCGGTCTGATCTTTTTACTTTGCTGTCTCATAACTGCAGGTCCCTTCATGCCTCATCCTCCAGATGCCTCGCTTTGGGAAGAAATTCAAGATGTTTGACAAGATCATTCCCTCTCTGGAGCTGGACATCACCGACCTCCTCTCTGAAGGTTCTGCTAAACACACACACGTGGATGAATATGATGTAACACAAATGGACATAGTGAATACAACATGCGTTGTGTGTGTGTGTGTGTGTGTGTGTGTGTTTCAGGTCCTCAGCAGTGCATGCTGTGTGGAAACTTGGCACAGGAAGAGTGCACCGACTGTTTTAAGGATCCCCTTTTCAGCCAGACGGGATTCAAAATCTTCTGCAACACTTGTTCATCTCAGGTGCTGTTTGCATCATTGTCTGACACACAAATCATTGTATCTGCCTTTAATATTAATGAAAGGCTATTAACGCCACTTTCCCACGTGATAGAGCTCACCTCTTCACCAGCTCTGGCTGCTATTGAGGGGTAAAGCTGTGTTACAGTGTTCTGATCCTGATCAGAAATCACAGGTGCTCTGAATAATATACTTCTCTGATAAATATATAAATATATTTGTATTGTTGAAGAAGCTGTTGTGATGGTGGCGTTGGCTCACAGAACATCTGATGCACATTTAATGCACAATTTATATAATTCAAGGGTCGGCTTAAGGTGGTTCAGTAAGGGTTGATTAATTTTCTGTACAAAGGAAAATTAAAGATGTTAAAGATCTAAATAATGTCAAAGAAATACTACTAATGATAAATTAGGTCATCATTAACTTACATCATTAATACACCCGTAATCTGGCATTTCTCTCTCTTTTGTCATTAATATAGGATTGACTCAGGAATCTAGTCTTATAAAACACAAAACTACCTGTTAACTTCAAACAATAGAGGCTCTATCGACCAAATAATATAATATATATATATATATATATAAAGGGGGAAAAAGTTCATTTTAAATTTAAATGCTCTCTCTCTGCCTGGGATGGTTTGGAAGGAAAAGAGGGAACTCTGGTCTGAAGGTGAGAGATATATAATCCTGGTGGAGTGGTCTAGTGAGAGTGGCACCAGTGCAGTCATGCAGGTGGGGTGGAGGCTTGTGATTTAACAATTATATTACATTTCATTCCAAAAAACACTAGAAAGTATGTAAAAAAAAAAAAATGGATTTATTATTATGTAGTACTGAAACCCTGGAAATTGAAAAAAAAAAAAAAGGAAAACTATTCAACAATTTTGCTAAATCACTTGAATGTTTGAGTAATTCAATAATAAAGTAGAACATAATATTTCTTTGTGGTTTTTTTCCAGGTTCACGCTCATCCTCAGCGTCGGAACCATCAACGAACTCCTCTGGACATCCCCAAGGGTTACTTGGGTCGCGGGACACCTCACGCTCTGACCAGAGACAAACTGGAGCTGTTCGCCGTGCTCTGCATCGAGACCAGCCACTACGTGTCCTTCATCAAACACGGACCAAACAGCCAAGACTGGATCTTCTTTGACAGCATGGCAGACAGACAGGGTGAGTGTTTTTTTTTATGCTTCGTCTCATTACGTGCACCATTTGTACGTGCACTCTTTGACTCAGTTGTGCATTGTGTTCAGGAGAGAAAGACGGCTTCAACATCCCGGAGGTTCACGCCTGCCCTGAGGTCGGCATGTACATGGAAATGTCTCCCGCGGAGCTGGCCAATCAGGTGCCTCGAGACATGAAAGGTGTGGCTAAGCGTCTCTTTTGTGACGCCTACATGTACCTGTATCAGAGCACCAACATGTGTCTCTATCGCTGACTCTTCACTGCACTGGAAAACCCCACAGCTTGTGTGTAAATAGAACAAAATGATTGTCGCTTTAATTTTTCTGTTTGTTATTCTTTCATTATTTTGTGGAAGTAAATGCATTAACATTTAAATCGTGTGTGTATGTATGTGTATATACACATACATACATACACGTTTTTAAATGTTCTTCTTAAATGTATACTACATATATAGCATTTTCTGCCTTTGTGGTGCTGGGAAAGTATTATGAGGCTTTAATAATTTATAATATTGTTTTATTTCTATAATGTATGAAGAAAAAGTACAAACTGACATCGCTTGCTCAGTAATTTTGCACTATAAGGAAAAGAAATTAACAATCACTGACATGCCTTGGCAAAGATAAATGACATGTTGGACTGTAATATAAGGATTTTGTAGTTTACGGTTTCTATTTGCTTTCTGATAATTATCTTTAAGGGTTATATTTACAGTTTTATAATGAAAGTGAATTTTGCAGACAAAATAATCCACTAAAGAAGACAACATAGTAATGATTTCTGGGTGGGCTGTTGTAATTTAAAAGCCACTATACAGGGCTTTTGTAAATACAATGTTAATTTGCTTATTTTTAAATTTGTTCAGATTCCTTGGAATATTGTATATTTGAAATTAGAATTTCACCTCAGGAGAGATTATATGTTGCTTTTTGATATGAAATGCACTTTTGCATCCATCATTATCCTAATTGACAGTACAGTAAATTACAAGGTTGGGAAAACTGCACTTAAATGGCTACGTATGGGTCCTGGCTAATAGTCGTTTCCATTAACAATATACTGCATGTTTATTGTTAATTGTACTGGCTTTAAAAAAAGGGTACAATGAATAAAGATTTCTTTTTACTTTGACTTGTCTTGTTACTGAAATAGATACAGTTACATATATTTAGAGGTATTACTATTTTTGGTGACACCTTCATGTAGGAACTCTTTCAGTTTATATCTGTCCATCAGTTTTGTTTAATTTAGGCAGTAGTTTAGTCAATTGTCTTTGTGATTCTCTCAGCATACAGCTATTGAATTATTGAATTCAAAAGGTTCCTTACAATATTACATACTCTTTGCTGTCATATTCAGAGTATAAAATTTGCATTGATGAAAGTGAAATAGTGAAGTGAAATATTTGTGAGGAAGCCCTTAATTTGCCTAAGTGTGAGTCCTGTGCAGTTTTATAAAGGTTCACTTTATGTGGTGTTCCCCAGGGATACATTTTTGGTCCCCTGCTGTTCAGTTTGTGCACTCTTCCTGTATGTTGCATTAGGACCCACTGTTTCACTATAAACTATGCTGATGACACTCAGCTGTATACATTCCTGTCCTCTGAAAACCTGATAAACCTGTTAAGTCAATAGTTGAGTTTATTAAAGACATAAATAAACTGGATGTCTTAGAGTTTCCCGCAACTCAGAGATTCTTTTTATTGGTGCCTCAGCAGCAGGAAATATGTTCTCATTTAGCACCTCTGCTTCTGGAAAGTACAACACAGGTCACAAACTTTTGGTTTTAGTATTTGTGACTAGACTTTTAATTCCCGAATTCCTCTCCAAACTCCCCCTCACTGGTTTACATGTAACATTTCTGCATAAATTAAATGTATTTTGGTGAGTTTTTGGTGAGTCAACCAATCACATATAAAGATATCAAATAAAGTTTAAAACAAAGATATGATCGTAGTTCTAGTATAGAAGGGATATTTATAGGAAAGAAGGTCAGATCAAAGCACAGAAAAAAAAATCTAAAGTGATGGGAACACCAAACATCAAGACATTTAACACATTCATTTTAAATGGTATTCATGAATAAAAGATCAATGTGAGTGTGAGCTTTGCCGGACAGGGAAATGTCATGTTGGTTTAACGGCTGAGTGAAGGGACTCTGCATCTGTGTATGTGTGAGGGGTAGCCACCGAGAGTGAGGTGTATTTTCTTGGAATAATTCAGCAGTGAGCTCCCAAACAAACAAGATGGTGGCTTTTGTTAACTTGTGATGCTGCTGAAACCTTAATGAAACCTCCACTGTGAAAACCGTGATAAGCAGAACAATTACAATTCTCTGGCTGTTGCTCAAAACTAATTATGAAATAATTTAAATAAATGTACATACGCTGTAGAGACCAACTATAAGCCCATTCTCTTGATGAATTACGTCCATGTTGGACAATAGCAATCATTAGCCAGAATACAATTTAAAGTCCTGTTTCCTCTTGTGAAGGAACCAAATAATTCTTGCCCATATTAAGAGTGATCCTAAATAGATATATACCTCCTAGTCATATATATTCCAAAGAACTCAATTCCCAGTAGTTCTTGGTGCGAAGCCAGTGAGGGATCACACTAGCATCACCAGGGTTACTGCATGATTATGGGGTAATCTCATGAATCTCCGCACATACTGACGCCCTCTATAAATAGCCCTTCAGTGGCAGGCGAGAAGATTCGAATGAACAGGAGGAGAAGACTTTCAGATGAAGCTCCAGAGGTGTCCAAAGATTACTTTTATCACCAAAGGTCATATCTACAGCATTTTATACAACCAAGACAATTTCTCTAATCTAAAAAATAAAATTGTTTGTCTGTGCACCTTATAAAATGATAATTCATACATAATGACCACAAGAGGTCAGTAAAAAACATAAATATGAGTAATGTAGTATTTGAAATAACAGACTTTTTTGTCTGGGGGGGCACAAGGGGGCACTGACTTATGCAGCGGTGGCATGAAGTAGGTGTCTCAGCAGAAATATTCAAATAAAGAAGAACACAACATAACATTTATACCACACGCAAAATACTGCATGGTTTTTCCACAGAACTGCATGTGACTAGCATAAAGTGGGAATTGCCGGAAAGAGGATTCAGATATCTAGAGGTCAGAGTTCAATACCTTTTAAGGTAATCCTTGTTAGTTAATTATAAAAGTTCATTTGATTACATCAAAAATTTGAAATAAAACTAGCCTAATTTTTTAAGTTCAAACATTCTTGCTCAAGTAGCTTCAGTAATTTTAAGTGCCACCGACTTAATTTTGTCATTTTTGTTTGTACTGTGAAAACAAAAATACCTAGTAAAAAGTACTTAATCAGGAATGTTTCTGTAGCTTACAAAAAGCTGCTTAATCAAGAGTATTTTTTAACTTTTTGATTCTAAAATTTAGTTTGCTTTACTTAAAATGTTCAATGTAATCCATTTCAGCATGTCTTTGAGTTAAATTAACTTATCGCATAAATGTTTAGCTTCCAATCGAAGCCTTTGAAAGACAGTGTGGAGTGGATGAGGTAAGATTAATGAGGTGACATGTGGGGTGGCCAATCAGATTTCAGGAGTGGTCAGTGCCACCCCAGGCCCCCCGCCTCTGGAAACGCCCCTGGAAATAATAATCAGTGCTGCCATTTTCTCATAAATATCATCTCACATAGGCCTGTGAGTGTCGCAATTAAAGATTTTCACTACACAATTATCATGTTCAAAAGAATTCACAATAACAATATTAATGCGATATATAGATATATAGACTCTGTAACCATAACTGTACAAAAGCACAAAAAAAAGATCCATTTGTGAACCATTTGTGAACCACAAAGTCAGAATACAAAGAAAAGGAAATTATTTAAGAGGAGCTGGATCGTTTACGCAATATTATTATATGTGTATTATGATGATATCATTTTCCTTTTTTAAATATCTCAGCTATCATCGATACAGGCACACCATGACACCTCTAGTCTCACAGTGTGTTCAGAGTGAACCTAAAGTTAATTTTTGCCTTGAGAAAAAATTCATGAGTATTTAACTACTGGATTGTTTTTTGAAGTCGTTGTTTATCCCCACTAACAGCCAACTGAACAGATGTTACAGCGATGTATGCGTGTGTGCATAGTGTGTGTGTGTGGCAGCTCAGACTTTGACTGATGTCAAGTCTTTTACCGTTTTCCCTAGAATCTGTACATGAAATACAGCCTTGGATGTGTCTTCACCTCAGGTTATGCTATTCCAGGTAAAATTGCATGCAGTGATGCTGTTTTGTGCTCAGTCTTAACAGTGTCTGAGCCACTGACAGTATATAATTAGTGGACAGAACTTCCCTGAAGGTCCCTGAAGTGACCTGGACTCCATCTGGTGGGAATTTTATGCTGATTAAAATTTCACACTATGGCCAAAATGCCAATTTGTGCTCTCTCCTAGGCTACTTGATTACTCTCACACAATCAATAAACTTCTCATCCCTGGTGTCCTCAGATCCACTGCCACACAATTTAGAACAGTCTGTGGGTTTGCCACCGTCGTTTCTGACTTTTTTACTCACTGCAAATACACATTTCAGCAGGAAACAAACTGTTGAGCACACTTCAAAGGTATACAGTCAGATTCACAACCTTGCTGGGGATCCCAAACTTCTGTACACTTCTACACTTACGGTTCAACAAAACGCTGCTTTGTCGGCTTTGAAGTGTGATCTGGCGTCACACCAAACCTCATCATGATCGGTTCAACATTGCATGTGCCACAACTTCACGTGATCTGAATACACACCAAGGATTTTTACATTAAAGCATAAGTCTCCTTACTCCTCCTGTCTCATCTTTTTTTCAAATGATGCCTCGGTGGATATTTGTCTTCGTTCCGGATGCTTTTGATCCTGCTGTCCACTGTGTTTCCCCTTCGTCTTGCTGTGATCAGCTCTGTGAATGACCTCTACGCTAGTTAGGAGTGCTGTGCTCTGCTCTGCTCTGTGATGAGTTGGGTTCTTTTATATCCCCGAGGGCACAGCCGGCTTCAGTGAGCAGAGCAGCCTTGTCTTATTATACGGCCCTGCAACTCAACAAAGCAGCATCCCTTTAATCCAACATGCTCAGCATTTTCAAACATATTCATCATTATGCAAAAAAAAGTACAGATCCTGTATGTGTGTTTACATAAAGGAGACTTGTGCAGGTCTGAGCAGTATAGTTGAACTACTCTAGGGTTTGTTGAAAGAAGATAATGTCTGCATAATAAAATACACAGCCCAAAGCAGCAGTCAAAGTCAACATGACATTTCTGGTCTTGCTACTCTGGAAAAATATCCTTTTCACTAAATGTGCAGACAGTCTGGAGCTATGCTGTCTCTGATACAATGATACACATATCTTGTTGTAGATAATAATTTGTTTTTACATATATATTTAGGGGATTTTTGGCTTTATTACATAGGACACCTGAAGATTGACAGGAAAGGGAGAGAGAGAGAGAGAGAGAGAGGGGGAACGACATGCAGCAAAGGACCACAGGTCGGACCCGAACCCATGGCCACCGCAGCAACGACCCAGCCCCAGCACGATCTTGCTGTAGATTACACGATGAGAACTATAAATGTATTTATATCCCACTTATTTAAACCAGCAATTACACTCACCTTCCATGGGTGTAGGATAAACTACCGTGGAATAAAACAGGAAAGGTCCTATCTAGAGCCAGTGTTTGGTCTGCCTGTTCTGGGCTATTGTAGAAACATGGGGATTCAACATGGCAGACTCTATAAAAGAGGACCCACTCTCTATAGATAAAAAAAAGCTAATTCAAAGTTAACAAAAAATACAATGATTCTTAAATTCAGGTGATTATACACTAATGAAAACATATCTATAAACATTATATTCTATTTCTGAAAATAGATCCTCCTAAAGGTTACACACTGGACCTTTAAAACAGTAAGAAAAACAAGTTAAAAAAAAGAAAATGGACCAATAAAATACCAAGAATATATATATGGTTACAAATACACAGCAACAACTAATACTCTACCCTGCTGATCCCTCGAAATGGACAATATTGCCCGTAATTTACTGTGTGTCCTCGTTATCCATTTCAGAT